GGGCCCGAGGCTGGCCCAGAGACACGGCCGCCCAACACACGGACAAGGACACGAGACCCCCCCTCAGATCCCACGTGCCCGAAGCGGCTCCGAGGGATGGGGCTGCCTGGCTCTGCACAGGCGCCATGTGGCACCGTGGGGAACCAGGCACCACGCACTACCGCCGGGCGCATGGCCCGGGCCTGCGCCATGCAACGCCCACAAGCGTCCCGCTCAGCCCTGACCAGTACGAGTCCATCGCCCAGGCACTGGTCAGCTGCTCTGCCCCATGACCCCCACCCACGACCCGTGACACCAGGCCCCTTCCCCGCCCGGCCACGGCTGCCTCCCGCCTCGCCCGTCCTGCCCCACGGCCAAGGGAGCGTTCCCCGCCCCGCGTCCCACGGCCCGGCCCTTGTCCTACCTCTTGTCCACGCACACGTTCCTCCCGGCTGCGTCCAGCTCCTGCACGGAGCCCCAGGCCCAGGGCAGGAGCTGGAGGCAGAACAGGACCCGCAGCCGCGCCATGCCAGGCTGCCCAGCGCAGTGCTCGCCCTCCAGCCCGTCCGTCTCCTCCGGGTCGCTTGCTTCCTCTCCCTGGCTTGGAGTTTCCTCCTTTCTGCTTCCTGAGGAAACGCGGGAGGGAGGAGGTGATAAAGCCCCGGGCCAAGGGGGCAGGGAGGCAGGCTGGGCTCACACGGGCATTCCCCAGGCCTTTGCCTCACTGCTGGCCCATGCCAGGTGCCCACATGGCAGGCGGAGGCCAGAGCCTCCCAGCGCCTCGGCCTGAGCCTTTGCCCTGCTGCGCTGAGCCGGGCACAAGGGATGCCCTGTGCCGCCTGGCTCCTCCACGCACCCCATACCTTTTCCCTCACCCTGGGCACAGCCCTGGGTGCTGCCATCCCCTGGGGGCCAGGCAGGCGCGACACGGCCTCGTGCATCCGGCCTCCGGGGCACGATGGAGCTGTGGGAAAGGCGCAGGCCTCCACCGCCCCGCTCCCCCCAGGAAGCCAGCATGGGCTGCAGGGACCGGGCTGGCACGTCTCCAGCCACCGCCGTTCAGCCACCTCTCCTGGCGCCGCAGCAGCGGATGCACAGGAAACAGCTTTTTCCTGCCCCGTGAGCATGAGGTGGAGCAGGCTGGGGGCCACCGGGCCAGCGGCACCTCCAGGCCGGGCAGCCCGCTCCGCTTCCCCGCACTTTCTGGGGCTGCAACCCCGCCGGGGCTGGAGCCACAAGAGCAGCAACCACAGACCAGACAAGGCACTCCCTGCCAGCACTGGGGAGGGGGCTCTGCAGCGTGCCCAGCAGGTGCCCAGGTAACAGCCCCCTGGGGCCGGGGTCACAGCCGTGGTGAAGGCTGGACCCTCAGCTGGCACCACGGGGAGTAGCCAGAGATGACTCCACAACGAGACGGGCCCTTGCTGCCGGCACGACCTGCCGAGACCCCACCAGCGTCCCTGCCAGCCGCAGGCACGGACAGCCGCCGAGAACACGGGCGCAGCTCGGGATGCCAGGCACAGCGCAGCCCCCGGCGGGTTTATTTCTGGGGCTGATCCCAGGCCCAGAGCAAGAAAGCAGCATCCTGGCCCCAATCTCGTCATCCAACGGGCTGGACCCCCAGGCCCCGCATCACGTCTGCGTCCCACGCTGCCCACACGGCCGAGCCAACCTGCTGCCGTGGGGATTGCGCCTTGTCCTGCTCCTGGGGCACGAGGCGCAGCACTGGCACAGAGGGCACAAAGCCAAGGCAGTCGTCCGTCAGCTGGACGTGTCCGGGCTGGCGACAGGAACAGGTGGGATGCACAGCATCAGGACACTGGGCTGCGAGTTGCTGCCCAGCACCATCAGTCCACAGTGGTGAGGATGCCCCTTTGCCGAACTTGCTCCAACGCTGCCTCTGCAGCCACGGCGGGAACGGGCTCTGCGACGTGGAGAGCAATGCCCCAAGCGCAGCCGAGGCCACCGCATGGTCCAGGAGCACGTCCTGGGCACCGGGCGGAGGGAGAGCGCCGCAGCTGGGCCAGGGCAGGTCCCTGCTCACTCGCTCGCTGGCTCGGCGGGGGCACAGGCCGCAGGCTCGCTTCCATCCTGCTCCACGCACCCACCCTGCGAGTCAACGATTCCCCACGCTCCAGCGCTGCCTGGCCGGGAGGCGTCCGAGCTGCTACTGCCACGATACCACGGGCCAAAACTGCAGGAAAGGCAGGAGAGCCCATGGGTGAGCGGGGGCAGGCTCCCAGGGGCCCGAGGTGCAGGTGGTGGAGCCGCGAGCCAAGCAGTGGCCAGAGCTGCCCTGTCACTGCCCGGGAGGCAGCCAAGTGCCCGGAGCAGCAGTCTGGCACCGGGGCAGCTGACATGGGCTGCGCTGCACCGGGGCACCGTCGACCTGGCAGCTGCACCGCCAGGCCCCGCACTGCGCAGGCACGCGCACAGGAACAGCTCAGGCTGGCACTGCCATCGCAGCCGGCACCTCAGGGCGCTCCTTCCTCCCGCTGCCGCGGAGTTCCTCCCTGCCCCGGCCCCAGGCCACCCGGCTCCGCGCCCCCACGGCCGCAATCTCGGGAGAGACTTACAAGCTTCTGATTTTGGAGCCAGGGGTCTGAGCGCCCACACTGCCCGCTTCGGGCGCCGGGAGCCACGAGCCCTTGTCATCATAATCATCATCACTAGCGTGCAAAGGAGAAGTCAGACCTGGGGCCAAGACCCCGAGCAGGGAAGAGACTGCGGCCACTGGGCTCCTGCCTCCTGTCCTGGGGCACGGAGCGGCCGCCATGGTCGCAGAGCTAGAAAAGGCCCCTGGGGTCGCAGCCCTCTCCGCAGCGACGGGCTTCCCCGCCACATCTGGAGGCAGTGCCGAGCCCCACGATCCTCGCGACCAGGGAGCACCCGCATCTCAGTCAGCAGATGTGCCCCCGGGCTCCTTTCCTGCCACTAGCTGGGCATGCGTGCTGCTCTTCCCACTGCCCAGCTCGTGCTACTGCAAGCCAGGCACACGTGTGCACGTACCCTTTCAGCCCAGGGCCGATCCACGGAGTGCAAGGGACATTTCCACGACCCGAGCGAGAGCTCCTGCAGCCAGGGCTCTCCCGCTGCCCAGTCCTCCCCAAGCAGTGCCTCTGCCCCCCGTCTCCAACCAGCTGACATGGCTCCAGGGACCAGTCATTTACTGTCTGTCCATCCCGGGGGGCAGGGAAAGCCCTCAAGAACCGTGGGCACTCCCTCGCTGGTGGCAGAGCCTGTCCCCAGAGGTTCCTGCATGGCAGCCCCCGCACGGACAGGCTCCAGCCCTGCCCGAGGGCACCGTCCCTGCATGGAGACCTGTGTCGCAGACGCTGCAGGGCAGGGGCCGAACACAATGCATGTGCCCGGGGCGTGGGGCCTGTGCTGGCAGGGCCTGGCAAGGCCTCAGGGCCAGGCCCAGGGAGGAAGGCAGCTATGCTCAAGCGCTGCAGCCAAGATAGCTTCAGGCATGGGGAAGAGCCTATGCAAGGACCCGGGTCTAGGACAGCCTCGGCGGGGCCAAGGCACAAGCCTGGCTGCTTGCCCGAGAGGGGCGCCAGCCTCGGCACTTGGGTCACCAGGGTGAGGAGCTCGCCCGCCCTTTGCTGCACCGCAGCTGCAAGTGGCTCTTGCCCCAGCATCTGGTCAGCAGCCAGCCTGGGATGCCCAGGAGGGGGCTGGGGAAGGCAAAGCCCGAGCAGCTGGCAGATAAAAAACAAGGCACTCCCCACGGCCAGGAGGAACAGAGCCATACAGGCAGGGGCCGAGGCAGCTGCAGCCCCTGGGAGCACAAGCCCAGATCGCAGGAGTCAGAGCACCCTGCCTGACTGCAGGCTGGGGGCTGCTTGGCTAGCAGGGCAGGGCAGGGCAGGGCAGGGGGTGGCGGCAGCGTGCAGTGGCCCCCTGCACAGGACAGCCGGGCAGGGTGCCCACATCGTCCCTGAGCACTCAGCTCCTGCAGCACGCGGCTTGCCCGAGCTGGGGAGGTCACGCAGCCAGGGCAGGGGGCTGCTGGAGGGCTGCATCCGGCCTGGGATGGGGCCCCAAGACGATGCCCTCTGGGCTGTCCAGGCCTGCTGTGCCAGCTCTAGAGGGCTGCCCACCTGCCAGAGGCAGGGCCCCAAACAACGTGGCTGCCTCCCAGGCAAGGCTTTGCCTCCACCTGCCCAGTGCAGGGGGCCAGAAACAGGAGCCCTGGGAGGGGGTGCTGGTCCCTCACCCTTGACAGGTGGATTGCTCCCTTCCCCTCCCCGCCCCGCAGGAAGCAGCAGCAGGAGAGAAGCCTTGTAGAAAAGCTGGGCCCCTTTATTAGGCACTTAAAAGCCAGCAACATGCACACCAGACAACCCCACCCCGCGCCCCACAGTGCGTGCAGCCCTGAGCGCATGCAGCCCCACGCGTGCAGCGAAGAGCGCGCCGGGGTCCTGGCCCCCGCACAAGCGGTCCCCAAGCAGCAAGCGCAAGCAAGCCCTTCCCTGCAGACCTGCCAGCACCGCCCATGGATCCCACTGTCCTGGGAGCCCGTCACTGCTGTCCTCAGTGGCGCCCGCCAGGTGCCTCCGACAGCTGGGGCAGGGGTCTGCACGTGGCCAGCGCTGCACGGCGCTTGGGGCTGCCGCAGCCTCCCCCCGCGGGGCCATGCCCCGTGGCGGTGATGAGCCGTGTCCAGCAGCGTGGCCCCATGGTGGGGCGGGGGCGACAAGCTGAGCAGAGTTCCTTGGCGAGCCGGGCAGCGCCAGCTGTGGGCAGCTTACGAAGTCCACCTGCAGGCTGGGGCAGGCCCGTCCGGGCAGGGCAGGGCAGGGCAGGGCAGGGCGGTCCCTCAGCCCAGTCCTTCAGCACTGCAGCAGGCAGCGCGTCACAGGCCGGGCCGAGCCCGAGTCCGTCCAGGCGTGGGTGGAGGCGGAGACCGCAGC